AGTTTGATGGGAAAATGGAAATAATAACTGCATAAAAGTGGTCTTGAAATTGAGAATCTTTTACTGCAGATACCCCTACAAAATATGTCTCTATTCTGCACATCGGACAAATCTATATACTGCCTTATGCATATCCGAAATATTCTCAGTGCTTCTATATATGTAGATATTCAGAGGCACAAGCAAAGTGTTCAAGAGAATGCCCACGAATGCAAAAACCAACCGAGGCTCGGTCCCACGAAGGCAAAACCCGACCCAGACTCGGTCCCACGAAGGCAAAAAACAATTTACATGTCGTTTGCATGACTAGGAGCTGGCCCACCTTTAGTCTTTATTCTATCGTGTTGTGCCTCTGTTGTGTACCCGTCCTGTCCAGGCCAGGATTCGCAGACTCGTTCCCACAAATGCGAAACAATTTACATGTCGTTTGCATGACTAGAACCGTGCCCACCGCTGGTCTTTAGTCTATCGTTAATAGCTTAGTTCTCTTTAGTGTAGGGTATACAAAACCAATGCCAACTGGCAAGGGTGGTGTGAGCGGAGGACAAATTCCGACATTTACGTGTGCGGCCAAAAGAGTAACCCTAATGTGTCAGTGGGCCGGGACAACCGTTGGCCGTGAGGGGGTCCTGTTCCTGCTAGTTTGCTGGTGTGCTTACTTAGCCTCGTTGACACGTTTAGTTGTCATCTAACACACACACTCAGAGAGAAAGAGAGAGAGATAGAGAGAGAGAGAGAGGCAAGGGGAAAAAGGATGAAAACACTTGCACATCCTTGTATCCGTATCGTTGTGTACTCGGGGCAAATCAGAAACAAGTCAAAGGTAAAACGAGCATTGTAATAATGCTGATGGCATCCCACAGAACGAGCCAAAAACTATAGTCGTCAGCGCCGACTGGGGTATGCCCCCGAGAGAGTGCCCACCACCCCTCCCCCTCAGTCTGAGTGTGTGCCATAGGAAAATGCAAATTTGTTGGCCATTTGGTAAATTGATTTTGCCATTGCAATTGGCCAATATTCAATGAGTGTCTAACGGGGATAGGGCCATAAAGCAATGATAGCAATAGCAACAACGACGACCATAAACAATTGATAGAAAAACTCAAGCGTTTTATGCCCTCTCGAAATCTTACTTAAAGATGGCTCCAGCGATGCTGGATATGGACACACATTAGGAATTGCGATGAGGCTGGGTAAGAGCTGGTGTTGGTCCATCGATCAGCGTTACTTTTAGTGTGATGAAATTAGCAGATAATCGAAAAGATTTCCAGGGAAAATGCCAGTTTATTTGGTGGTTTATTGAGATTTTGGGCTTCTCCCAACGCTTTTACTTACTCCTGTTCAAAGGAGAATGCCCGAGAATTGCAATAACAACATTCATGTCGTGTATGTGACTTCTCAAAAGGGAATTCCCGAGTATAGTACAAAAACAACATACATGTTGCGTGCATGACGCAGCTTACTTATACTCGACTCGACGACGCACAAGCGAATGCCCCAGACTCTCAAAACAACATACATGTCGTGTATATAAATCCTCAAAAATTCCCGAAAATGCAGAAGGAAATTTCCAAAAACCGTACAAAAACAACATATATGTTGGGTGCCTGACGCAGCACATTGATGCTGGACTCGACGGCGGATGCCCGAGACTTTCAAAAACAACATACATGTCGTGTTGCACAAGGAAACAGTTCAGTAAAACATAAATTTCCTGTACATGACGGACAAGCGAATGATTCAAAAGAGAATGCTCGAGATTTTTCCAAAATTAGCCCATTTACATGTCCTGTACATGACGCGACATTCGAGTTTCTATAAAAAGTGTTTCTTTTTTGTTTTTGTTGCTTGGAAATTCCAAAAATTCTGCCCACCGATGTTTTAATAAATTAAGAATTTCCTAGAAATATTTGGTTTTTGTAATTACTTCAGAGCTTCAGTGCTGGAAAAACCCCAGCTGCCAATAGGTTGGCTAACTTTTTCATTGTATTCCATCGGCATATACGCCACGCATAGTCTGCCATGGGAAACCCAATTAAAAAAGTGTAAACAAAATTAATCAAAGTTTGGCCGCAACTCAAATCAAAACAGCAGCAGGAAAGCATTTGGAGCATGCTGGCGGCAGCCACAAAAAGTAATAACAATTCACAAAAAAATTGACCCACCCATCAGCCCGAAACTATTCCATATCCCATTATCCCAGTACCCCCCAGTATTCATATGCCATCCCCCCAGATGGGGGCGAATGGGGCGTATGTGGGTTTTACCTGGTGGTGCAGACTGTTGTAGTAGCGGGTTACGTATGCGGGCAACAGCTCGGCGGTCTCCAGGCCAATCCACTGGAAGACCTCCACTTGAGGATGAGGCTGGGGCGCTGAAGCGGCATTACCCAAAGCGATGACGGCGGCGGCATTGGATCCGGAGCAGCAGCAGCCACAGCAACAACACACTTGCTCCTGCCTCTCATCGTTGGCCGCCATTCAGCAGTAGGCAGCCCTCACAATTTTCCACGTTTCTTGGGGTTCCTTTTGCTGTTTCTGTTGTTGTTTTCTTATCAATATTATAATTTGATTATTTGTTCCTGTTCTACAACATTTAATTTTGAGTTTATCCACCCACTTCTTGTTGGGTTGTGGGTTGTCCCTGTTCTTGTTGTTGGTGTTTTTGAGTAGGTGAAACACATTTGAATTTAAATTGAGTTATGCTGGCATACAACTAGTCGACAGCTGGCGCTGGCCTGGGACGGAGGAGTATCTTCTTGTGGCGCCAATTTATGAGCAGGGCATTGGCTCGTCCCCAGCGCCAAGGAGCAGCAGCATCATCATTGCCGATGGTGGCGGTGGCTGCCATTTTGTCAATTGCTCCCATGTGGATTGAGATGCCGGAACACGTGGCTGACAGCGCGACTCCGGTGGGTAGGAAAAACTCGCGCGTAATTGGCACACTGACACAACGACACGCACTAAAACACTCCAGAGACAGGCTCCCGGTTCCCGGGTACGGCTACGGGTACGTTTACGAGTCCCGGTCCGGGTTTAGCCTCTCGTTAATTGGGTCAAGCCAACAGGAGAGAGAGCTCTCTCTCTCTTGCTCCCACTGGAGAAATAGACGACTCCTGACGAAGGTTTTCCGCCAAAAAAAAAACAAACTCCAGCTCTTTAGAGGGGGTCGGGGGGCGGCGCTGGAGCTGTGGGCGCCTCGTTAGGCGCCTCTTTCACACATGACTGGGCAAGTGTCAAATAAATCAAAATGCGAAATCCGAGGCGAGGTGCGGCGCCGGGCTGCACGTTCCCTAGTGGCGACTGCGCCGCAAACTAAACTGAAAAATTGTGCGCGCTTTTTCTTTAAGTCAATCACGAGTGCTCCGTTTGCTGAAAGAGTTGGCTAGAGAGGGTGGGTGGGGGCTGAGAGAGCACCGCCTGCAGTTGCTGCTGCAATGTGCAGCCGCAAAGAGAGAGGAAGAGAGAGAGACCAAAAGCTTTTGCTGCAAGCTTGGACCAGGTCCGGGGCAGACTCTTGTTGCTGTTGCCGCAGCCCTGGCCAGTCAGTTCTTATCCTAGCACCGACACCCACATCTCCCCCCCGCCCCCACTCGCCCACCCATTCCCCAGCCTCCTCGATGTGTATATAGCATTAACACATTCCTTAGCCAGAGCCTGCATTTTGCTGCAGTTGTTCATATTTTTCTTTCATTCTTTGCGTACTCGTTTTATTCCATTTTTTTTTGTAGCTGGATTTATGAAAATGAGTCGCCAGACAGAGGCCGAGTCCGAGCGCAAGTCCTGAAGTGGCGCAAAAAAAAAAAATAAATAAAAGGAGGCACAGAGGCAACAGAGGCATCCAATCCCCAGTCGCAAGAAGAAGTAAAAAAAACTGTAGTCTGCTTCAAGGAGCAATTAACGACAGTGGATGGCACAGAGTTATGTTATGGCATTTCGGGAGCCCCATATCACACTCAGGAAGGCATTCCCAAGGCTCGAGAGGGAGAGGGAGTTCCTAATACCCTAGCTTATGAGTGGGGTATATGCGTGGGGCGGGGACGGGGGGCAAAGCAATTAAGAACTTCAAAGGAAAACTCTGCCAAATTATGGGATCCATCAGGGGAGAGTTTGTTCATATAATGCCATAACTTTATCCCCAATTTGCGGTTTAAGAACTCTTAAATATTCAAATTTGTGTAATTCCTGGATAGCATCTTTATCGCCCCATTTAAAGGTCCTTGAAATCGTATTATAAATAATCAATTGAACAGTTGAAATCCATCAGCGAGTCATATTCAATTCAGTTTTAGCCTGTCGTTTTTCATTAATGCCCGTAAGGATATTTGATATTTCGTTCAAATGCAAAATCCTGTTCGGTTTTCGTTTACAATTTTCTGCATTTCTTTCTCTCCCCCGCTCCCTGTTTTGCTATCGTTTAATGTTTTTGTGTGGTCGGGCCGGGCCCGGGCCGGGCCGCAACCAACGATGATGGCACTTGAGCCTTGTAGCATACTTTTCAGCGCAAAAAGCCTTTAGGGGTGGACCAGACCGGGGCCCTAGGGGCGTCCTGTGTCGCGGATGTTGCTGCTTTCTGGTGTACTCGTATTGCGGCAACAATGTCCGAAAAAAGGAATTTCGGTTTGGTTTATTCTGATTAAATTGTTTGTATTTGGTTGCATTAGCAGGCATTGCCATTGTGTGTGTGTGTGTGTGTGCCTCTGTTGAGGCAAAGGATTAGTGACTATCTGTGCTCCGGGCAGGATGGTCTGTACTGCCATTGTGTTGCTTTGGCCTGTTTGCCCGCACTAAATACATTTCAAATTTGTTTAAGCTTAAGCCGAAATGAATTTCGGGGGACCGACCACAGAGAGAAGTACTCTATGTAAGAGCCAGAGCTTCGTCGTTGTGATTGGCAGATTATTAAGAAATAAAGCCTGCCTGCCACAAAATGCCACACAGCATAGCCCAGCAAAGTAATAGTAAATAAGCGCAATGGAATGGGGGCTTGCCAGCACTCACCTGCATGTGTGGGGCGGCCAGCAGCAGCATTAGTTCATCCTTGGCATACTTATTGGCCACCGAACTGCCGGCCGTCGACGAGAGCGTCTCCAGGACATCCCGACTGCGGGTGACCGCCTCTGCGGCCGGCGCCCGGCCGTTGCTGGTGACAACCGTCGAGGTGATGCGATCAAAGAGCTGCAGCAACTGATGCAGCCGACTGTCCCGCAGCATATCCCGCATCACATCCGCGTCCACATGCGCATCCTGCAGCGAATAGATATCGTCCAGGCAGTCCAGAATGCGCTGGACCGCCTCGATGCCCGCCTCCTCGTCGGCCCATTCGTCGGGTGCCCCAGCAATGGGCACTGAAAGATCACAACATTAGTAAGGATTGAAGAAAACGTCTGTATATGGCAAGACTTACTGTCCGCATCGGTGACATAAACGGGATCCATGGTGGTGCCGCCGGCAATGGCCTGAACGGCACCCTTGAGCTTGCGCCGAGCATTGTAGCGCTTCAATTCCTCCACCGTTTCTGCGAGATGTGTTCGCTGTAGCTTGTCCCGATCTCGTATCCACGGATGGTCGAGCACCTCGGTGATGGAAAGTCTGTGATGTGGATTGGCCGCCAGCATTTTCATGACTAGGTCCTTGGCATTAGCCGAAATTGATTTCCATTCAGGCGCCTCAAACTGCAAAACAAATCGAAATCAAACACTCCGACTCCCCAGTGAATCCTTTGCGACACTCACCGAGAGCCTGCCACGCGCTATCGACTGCTGTAGTCGCACCCCTGAGCCCAGAAAGGGCAATCTGCCGGATAGTAGGACATGCAGCATTACACCAGCGCCCCAGACATCGCAGCCCTTGCCGTACAGCCGCCTGGTGACAACCTCCGGCGCCATATAGTGCGGACAGCCCACGCGTCCGTGTGTTTCTATGGTTTCCCTCGTGCCCGGCAGCTGGATGGCCGAACCGAAGCCACCAAGCTTCACTGGCGCCGAGTTGTCCACGGTGGCGAGCAGGGCACAGGCGGGACGCACGTCCCTGTGCAGTATATCGTTCTCATGGCAATATCGTAGCGCCTCCAGTATCTGCCGCATGTAATGGCTGTAAAGAGTTGCAAACGTTAGATAAAGGGCTTCAAGAGGGTCCTGCCTTATGGATGCGTTTGCTTCTGGACGATTCTAAGGTTCTAAATGATTTGGCAACTAATTTTGGTTCCAAAACGAAGCTAGTAAAGGGGCTTTTTGCACTGTTTAGCTATTAATGGTAAAGGAACCTTTTTTCTTTTATAAAACAAAAGTTAAGTCGAGCTTATGGCTTTGCAAAACTAAAGAATGATCGAAATCAATCAAAAAAACTAAAGATTTTACAGAAATTTGACTTTGCAGAAGGCATAGACTCGTTTAGGTCTTAAACTTTACATATATATATATATTCAACCTGAGCCTTTCCTAAGCCTTAAATTCATTAACAATAATTTTCCAAAATTAAAACCCTATTCAGGATAGGATTTAATGATTACACTGAACAAAATTTGAACAATTTTAGTGATTAGGAGGTTATTTTGATGTAAATTAATGCCAGTAAAGAAATAAAATATAAAAATATAATTAGACCATACAAAAAAAATGGCAAAATGAAACTTTGGCTCGGTATATCTTCAGCTACAGGCATTGAATAGACACAAATACAACCTCCTTTGGAAGAACTAAGGCTCTAATAACTAAAAACTAATCCTCAGTTCCTCAGCAAGCACCACAAAAGTATGCTACAAAAAGAGATGGATTGACTATTGCCATGCTAGGCTCTGAGCATCCGCTTAAAGGTGCCTCCTCTTAAAGGTTCCTCCTCTCAAAGGTGCCTCCTCTTAAAGGTTCCTCCTCTCAAAGTTTCCTCCCCTCAAAGCTGCATCCCTAGTCGAAGCAAACACACATCCATAGCCCACATTTGTGCAAAAACTGAGTACTGCTGGTGCTCACCAAGCCACCGCCTCGCTGTAGACAAAACCGGCAACGGCGCGACGCACAACCTCGAAGCACAGGTCGGAGCCTTCCATGCTGTAAATGTGAAAAATGGAAAATGTAAGTAAATGAAAGGTTTGAAAGGGAAGGAGACTGGGGAGCACTTACAACTCGAACACCATGTAGAGCATGCCCTCGGAGCTGTAGGTCTCCAGCAGCTCGACAATGTGTGGATGCTTCAGCATATGACATATTGTGGCCTCGCGCTTCAGATCTGCAATGGGAGTGAAAGCAGGGCAGAAACGGCAATTAGTTGACATTAGATGGAAGCCTAAACAGTTGTACGGCCAGGCCAGGCCAGGCCGGCACGGCCCCCCACCCATACCAAGTCCGACACCAGCTGGCAGTGGCACTAATGGACTTAGCGCTGACTTATGTGCCTGCCATGCATCATTTAGTCAATGTCCTGGGCTTGGGACCTGCTGTTCGTCCAGGTCCAGGCATCCTTGCACTTGAGCAATTTCTTTTTAATTGGCATCTTGGGCTGCCAGATGCCTGGGGGGGGGCCCTGCTACACGTGTGCCACAGCCAACATAATTTTGAATAATTGAGCAGCTTAATTATAATTTATTCACACAGAAACGGTGCCTGTCGGGCCAAATCGAACAAGGTCGCCTCCCATTCTGGAACAACAACAAAATATGAGTACACTCACCCGCTGTGCTCAGTCCTGGACTCGCTGTGAACTTGGCCACATCAACGATTTTAACAGCAAACTGCTGGCTGGACTCCCTATGTATACATCGTCGCACAATGGAGAAGGGTCCTCTGCAAAAGAAGGGAACAACACCGAACGACAGAAATTTAAGTGAAATTTTAGGGCTCTTTGATTATCGTTTTTCCATAAATATATACGAATACCCCCAAAATAAGACTTTTGTATACCCTTTTGTAGGTCTAAACAAATTAAAAAATACACAAGAGTATTTCTAACTCAATTTTGGCACTCGTCCAAGATGGGGAAACTTTTGTCCCTGTCCCGGCAAAAGTTCTTGCTAATTTTTTTGGAAATTTCCGAAACAAATCACACAAATATTTTGTAATATAATTGCTGACTGTGCGCTCAACTTTGACCTGTTAAACTATGTTAAATTTATGCTCCTGCAGCCTTGGACTTTGGTAGACAACTATGATCCTGTCACAGGAGTGTAACCAACACAGAAATTTCGTTAGAGCGGCATACATAATGCAAAAGTTGGTGAGAAGTTTGCCAACTTTTTCTTACATTTCTTGAGGGGTCGGAGGCGGGACAGGACAGGACAGGACAGATGTTAGGACATACATAATGAGATAATGGCAGCCGTCAATAGCAGCATTTGCTCCATAACCAGGGGGGAGGGGGTGGGTAGGGAGGGGGAGGAAACTTACTTGCCAATGACCTCGCACAGCTCGTAGACATCGTCAAAGAGAATTTCGTCTTCGGTCATTTTGAATAATTGATGAATTGATGCTGATGCCTGCTGATGGTTCGCGTCTCAATTGCTTTTTCGAATATTGATGAGTGGAACGGTCCCCTGTCCCCTGTCCCTGGCTGCTCCGGGCTTGGGTTTGGGTTTGGGTTTGGGTCCTAGGTGTACGTGTTACTCCGTGTCCAATGTTTTTTGCCCTCCAAAAGCGAACACAAAAAATTAACAAAAAAAAAAGGATCCAAAACCGATGGGCCTTAAGAGAGCAACTCTTAAAAAAAAAACTTTGGCTCTTTGTGGGTTGTTCTTCTTATGGTAGTTGTTGTTGTTTTTCGTTTCCTCGCTGGTTGATGCTGATGTTAAAGATTCATTTCGTGGCTGCAAAAGAGGAGGAAAAAAGCCAAACACAGGCATGGTTTTTAGTTAAGGAAATGAGTATGGCCATTGGCCGGCCACTGGCCATCCATCCGATCCGATCCGCCAACAGGCTGTCAATCACCGGCCCTCTTCAGGTGAGCTTTATTCCGAACCCAAATCAATTACAGTCAGGCCCCAGCAACCGCAACCGCACATACACACACAATCCACGACGTGTGTGTGTGTGTGTGCGGGACAGGCAGGAAGGAAGTTTCACTGTCAACGATTCGAATTTTCCAACGGAAATGATGAGCGGTCCGCACTCCGGAGTTTTTGGGCCACAAAAAGGTAAACAAGCCTTAAAATATCACACAACAAAAGAAGGGAGGGGTACGTACAGCAGGCGGGTGGCGAGGGGAGGTGTGCAAAGGGGGTACGATGGCCTATAGCTAGTTCCCTTTGCTATTGTCTTGGCCAGAGCCGTGTACTATTATTATGCCCATTTGGGACCCTAAGGGGCACTCATGAAAGGCACTCCAAAAAGTCATACAGAGAAAGGAGAGAAAAATGAAGAGCCCAGAGAGAGAGAGAGAGAGAGAGAGCCTCGTAGAGCCTGAGAGGAAGCCGTAGAACAAGCGCAGGCGCCCAAATGATGTCCGTGTAAAATGGCAATTGTAATCGTAAAAAATATAAGCTATGCTTTGCTCGGACAAGGCTCTTGAGCTGGGCCCAGGGCTTGCTGCATGAATATTTAAATATGCAACAATTTACGATGCACTCACAGGACACACGCACACCATAGCGAACACACACACACACGCACAGATAGAGGCGAGTAGGGAGCCCGCCCTGGACCGGGACAAGTGTCATGTTTAATGCAGAGCTGCGCATGGGGCGCGGTGCTCGAAGCTCGAGCGAAGGTTTTACCTTGCTCGTGTGCCGCTGCCGTCGTCGCTGTTGTAAAATGCCTTGACACTTGCCACTTCACGACCTTACCTCACACACGGACGCACACTAATGCACACACACACACACCCGCCTCTACAGCTGCTGATGCACTTGTCACCAGAGCGACACAAGTGCCACCGCCTTGTCGGGCAATTGGGAAATTGATTCTTTGTCTAGGACGAGGGATTACAAAAGGATTTGCATTGCTCTGTCACAGTCGCAGTCGCTGTCGCCGTCGCCGTCGCAGCAGCCACCCATAACACCCCCGCACAACACACACATTCCACCACCATACCAGCATTGGTATGTATTTTTATGTACAAACCCCTGTTCGCAGCCTCGCACCGAAATTTTGTGTGCCCTGCCCCTCAGCGACGGAGTACTTTACACAGCAGCGGCATTCATAGATCGCGCCTGGGTTGACGTCAACACATAGAAACGCTTAATTCTTTAATTAATTTGTTATTTCTCACTAATTTTGCTAAAAACACGAACCCAGTGTGACCGCGGACTTAACGAATAAATATACCGTCCGACCGCCAGAAATATACCGAAACATACCGTATCATTTTAAAAATATACCGTAAATATACTGACGAATTCAAGTTATATTTTACATATTCCTCGTTTTTGACCTTCCGTCGAATATTACTAGCTATATAGAACATTAGGCCATGCCCACATAATTTTATCCGATTAATGAATCAATTTTCTACTTGATTGGTTAGTTTTTAGTCCTTGCTTTTATTGTATTTTGACTAAAACAAGGTTTAAACAAAATAGTTCAACCAAAAATCAGTCGCAATGTTGCTGGTATTTGAAGACATGATGCGTGTATAGGCCTTTGTGCACCCTATTTCGGTAATTTTATATGTAGATCAAACGTAATTTACAAAGACCTTTAATCAAATTGATATTCTTTAGACATATTCAAGTACATTATAAGTATCTTGAATATATTTATCTCGATCCTGATACCTACCGAGCCTTGGAAGACAAACATATTCACAATTCTATAACATCCATTTGCCCCAGGGTATGTGTGCATGGAATTAGCAACATGTTTGTGTATGGAATGAGACTCATTGTTGCAAAAGCGAAACTGCGGCGAACTGCGGCGAACTGCGGCGAATTAAAATTTTCTCATATTCTTTGTTCCGTTGAATAATACTATCTATAACATATACCGTCTGACCCTCAGAAATATACCGTAAATATACTGACGAATTCCAGTTTTTTTTTACATATTCCTCGTTTTTGATATTCCGTAAAATATTACTAGCTATATGGAACATTTAGCCATGCCCACTCAATTTTGTACGATTGATGAATCAATTCTATACATGATTGGTCTATTCCAAGTACTTGCTTTTATTGGATTTTTATATAACATTGAAAATTAAATTAATTATTGACAAAAATACCATGGGATCGCGGGGAAAACCAGTTTTTACAGTATGACCCTCAGAACAGCACCGAAATATACGGTCTCATTTGAAAAATATACCGAGTGGTGCGCGCCAAATCTAACTTTTTTGAATGTGAGCGACAAGGATTTAAATGTTGTCAACCGGGCCTTTATCTATGCCCACACACTTTTATCCGATTAATGAATCAATTTTCTACTTGATTGGCTAAATTTAAATAATTGCTTCCATTGGAGTGAATCGGATAACTTTTGTAAAAGTGGAAGCTGGATTGTTTCTAAAATAAGATTTAAAGAAAACGTAGTGTGAACGAATAAAGCGTAAGTGTATTCGAAATGTTACGTTATTCGATTAGCAATATTATTGTATTGCGATATTTTTGTTCGATAAGCTAACATATCAGCGTTTCAATTTGAAAATAACACTATATGTACGGTATTATTGTTTAAAATATAATTTTTCAGGAATAAATTCCAAAACATATCGTAGAGGTTTGAAACCGAGCCAAGCCCGCCTTGAAGAGAGCGAAACCCACCACGGTCGACAGATCAGACGTTCCCCTCTTCTTGGCTCTTGTTCTGGCTGCTGCTTCCCCTTCGTGCATGGGTGTTGGGATCGTTCGCTCTCTCGGCTGCTTTTTCCCCTCCTTGTAGCGTAGGTATCGGGATCTTATCGGCTACCATTTCCCCTTCGTCTGACAAAGGTATGGGATCGCTCCAGCCCTGGCTCTCTCTTGGCTGCGATTTCCCCTCCGTGTGACTTTGGTATTAATTCTAGTCATGCTCGTCGTGTTTTGTTTTAAATTAAAAACTCTATCTCGGTTTTGGGACGACGGCCTATCTCTCGGTCAACCTTGTAGGCGTTGGCTTTGGGCTGGCCGGGGAGAGTTGTTGCTCACATCGGCGTCACTGGTCGGAGTGGGAGAGATCCTTGTCCAGAATGTAAGTTTTTATTTCAATACTTAACTCTTGAATTGAAAATTTTATTTTTTTTATTTTATTTATTTTATTATTTGCATTCGTTTGAATCAAACTGCTAGTTCCGGCTGAAAAACTACCACCAGTTCTCTGGCATTTAACGATGTAACGGTTTTTGTCATTTTGTGTGTATCCATCCACGGCCTCTTTATTTTGTACGCGGGAAAATTTGAAACTAAACTTTTTAGACAACAAACGAAAAGTATACCTCCTGACCAAACTATAATATACTATTGTTATTCGACAGCTTAAATTTACTGTGAGATTAGTCATTTCTATATTAATATCCATTTTAACACTGAGCACTTAAGAAAAAGAAAATACTAGAGAATAATAGTACAAAAAGAAGGCAAATGTGAACGAAAAATTACTGGTCGAATCGCTTTATTTATGGCATGAATACGAGTATAATTGTTTAAAACAACACAATAGAAATTTTATGAGGAGTTTATACACCCTCATATTTTATACGAATTATCCGGGGTGCGTCCGTTGAGTCTTTCATTTTAACCTATACAATAAAGAACAAATATGACTAATATGAATGCTTATCACCATTGCTGCGAGGTGACGATCAAATTGCTGGACTTTAATGAGACTGCTCAACAATAGTCGCACAATCAGTATAAATCGTTGGTGTTCATTAAGTAAATAACTACAAATAATAAAATAAAGATCTTTCAAGTGCTAGCTTATGAAAGCAAACCTCTAAACGGTTTCGATTAAAGTGAATTCAATCAATATTTACTTTGCTCAAAGTATGAACATACCGGCAATAATTGTTGTTGGATATTAAATTTGTGCACTTCGACTGGGATTTCTCATTTCTTACCATATCTGCAACGTTTTCTCTTATCACCAAAAAGTTTAGCATAAATTACTCTTTCCCGTAGCCCTTGTGAGTATCCTTCTGCTGAACTCTTGATCTTTATCTCTGGGGTTATTCTGAGTCCATAGAATAAAACCATAATATTTACATTTTCTTTTCATGCCATTCAACGTTATCTATTATTATTATTATTGCCCTATAGCATTTGATAAACCCATTTGAATAAATTAAGATCTCGACATTAATATGCCAGGCACAGACCCTCGACCGAGAACCCACACAGAAAGTCCGAAACGTCGTAGGTGCGTAATCTGTAAATCAGCTCTGAAGGAGGGAAAACGATGGGACCCCGATCCAATCCCCATGCTCGAAACATAAACATCATCAATTACAAAACCTCGAACAGCAAAGGAGGTGGAGAGGCAGAAGAAACAGCAAGGCCAAGAACAATACGATAAGGAATAACAGCAACAACCAGAAGAGCCAAATGAAGAGGAGTTGGAGCCGCAAGAACAAGTGGCTAAGAACCAAGGAAGAGGTTCTGAGACTCTTCCCGATCGAAGTCAACGATTTGTATCCTAATTTTGGATGTCCGATCTGCTGCTTGATCCTGATCAAGAACAAACAAAACTTTATGGACACTCGTATAATCTTCCATCTTTGATTGGCAAACATCTGGCCAAAATCATAACAACCAACAACAACAAGGAGAGATGATCTACATTACGAGAGATGATCGTGATGTCATTCGTGTTACGTTCGTGCCTTGCGGAAAATGTTCGTGCGCCGCGAGGCTGATATGAAATATCCTACAGGGCCCTGCAAGTTCGTGCGTGTTTGCAAATTCATATTTCGTGTCCGTTTGCCATCTCTAAGGCGGAGAACAACAAGAACATGACACAAAATCGTAGGTCGTCAACGCTGTGCAGTGCATTGGTTGACAAAAGGGAAACAAAACAAAACAGAACAACCAAAAGGGAGCGAACAAGAAGGGAAAAAGGGAAGGCGGCTGAGAGCCACTCAGGTGAAATCAAAATCAAATTCAACGCCAGCGACGAGCGTAACTATACCTACAGCTATCCCTATCGCTGTCCTGTCCTCTCCCCCGTCCCCTGTCCCTGTCGCCGCTCATCGTCATCATTTGGACTTGCGACTGTCGCGCTTAATGCGTGTGGATGGACATGAACGTGTAGGATTCGAATTGACATTATAAAAACTGGTTTGCTGCCAATATATTGCCGGTTACGCGTCGTCCTACACGGCTGCAACGTCGACTGCAACGCCAACGCCAACGCTGACGCCAATGTCTCGCTCCGGCAATCTCCCTCTCCCTCCCACCCTCTCTCTCCTTCTGCGTGTACCTGCCTACTTGAATCTGATTCCTGTTTGTTGTTGCTGTCTCTAGGACATTACCTGTGCCGCGGTGGTAACTAGGAAAAGAGCGCGCCAAAAAAAGGCGATGGGCTCCTCGTCAAGAAAAGTCGTTCTTGACGTACATCTGATCCGATAATGACAATCGATATTGTATGGCAATCAAAAGATTTCAGATTTGTGCACACAAAGAAGATTATGTAATGCTTATAAGCAGGATCTTTGAGAACTGTCAGAATGTGGCTTGTCTCTATAGAGTAATTACCGAGAAAAAGTCAATAAGAAATAAGACAGATAAAGGTATTGAAAGTTTTGGATAAACGTGAGATTAGAGATAAGCCTGATATGGTATGGGATCCTTAGACCTACGAGTCTATACTTTAAATGTGCTATTAGGTAAACATATTAACCCTTCAGGATATAAATAACATTTGAAATTTTTATTTTCCTGGAGGGACTCTCAAGTTCCCAGAGGACTTTCATTCAATATGAATATCACTCTTTAAAAAATGTTTCCAATCACTATAAGTTTCTACTATTTCCTTTATCTAAGATCTACTTGTAGGGTCTATATTTTCATATAATTATCGAAAAGAAAAGCCTGTATCCAAGGGTTGAGATCTCAAGGTCAACGAACCTTTATTTTTGTGGTTTTATTTTTGTTCCACTCATAGAAACTGTACGGGAACTGGAACAGCATCGTTGTGGAAGGTCTCTTCCTTTCCATCACTCGTGACTCCCTCTCTCTATTTCTCCTTCGCTTGATCCTGTTATGGCATATTGAGTTAATGTAGTCAAATTACGTTGCCTGGAAATGCATCTTCTCGCATCGCATCGCATCGCATCGCATACGCATCATATTC